TGATTTTTTTGTCTTGTTTAAATCTAACTTACATGACAAAAGGTGCACTGACAATACAATCTAGTTATCACTAATTAGGACTTAAAAGGTATTGGTCGTTTTCACCATTCCCATGAGATACAAAACATAAGGGACCAGCAGCCATGTTGGAGAATGACCAATAGATACTAATGAGAAATCCTTTGTTGAAGTTCCTCCAAGATGGCCGCTGTGACATAATTTGAAAACGAAGAATTGTAAAGGCCGAAATAGACGGCACAACTACAACCATCGCATGCAACGCGTAAGTCATCCTTACAACATGGCTATAACTTGTAGGGGGCTATTTAAGCAATTGTAGCCATGTTGTAAGGATGACTTACACAGGCTGCATGCGATGGTTGCAGGCAAACGTTGTGTCGTCTTTATTTGGCCTTTAAAAAAGACCAATGGAAAAGAAATCTATGTTCAAGATATTAGAATGGGCACTGAGTTCATTCTTCCGGATGCTCTACAATGTACTTTGCACKTGTACATGAATAAGAACTCTAGAGTGCTTGATTCCTCTGAAATGTCAATTTTACTTTGCTTCAATACCCACGTAATTTCCAAATAAACAAAAGGATACATTATACATTTTTAACCAGAACACGGAATTACATGGAGCGTTATTCCTAAATATATAGCCCTGGCCTAAATTACATACAATTCTTTCTACCTCAATAGGACGCTTTTTCGTGGTGTCTTGAAAGATAAGTATTTTTCAGTTGAGCAAACGCAGGGAAAGTACTGAAATAAAACCAAACTAAATACTAACAAATTTCGGCTATTTAGAAACAGGATCAGYGAACCTTCTAACACAATGAAGATGAATCCACATGAGATTATTATTAATTCATCTTGATTAAGTTCTGTTTCATTGTTTCTGACAAATTGTCTCCAAATAGCAGCTATTTGTTTGTATTTAGTTTGGTTTTATTTCATGGTATTCCTGCGCGCGCTTGCTCTAAATTTAGTATTGAAATTTTGTTACTAGAAAGGGCTTATCATTACATGTAACAACTTGCATCATCAAGCATCTCTCATTAAATGCTCAATTAACAGTTTGGTTGAAGTAATGTCATTAGGCTTATTTTTGATTTGCATGTTGCGTCACAGCGGCCATTTTGGAGGAACTTTAACAAAGGATTTCTCATTAGTATCTATTGTTCATTCCYCCAACATGGSCTCCGTYCTTTTATCTTTTGAATCTCATGGGAATGGKTGAAAACGATCAATAAACAGCTGCATGATTTCACTGGCGGGTATGATAAATACTGGCTTAACAGCCTGCCACGTAAGACAGTTTTACTTCACCGGCGTTGCCTGCCAGCCGAGCACATCTTCAGAAGTATTGACACCAAAACCAGACTACGTTCAGAAGTGGGTCATTAGGAAATATAGAATATAAACGATGTATATAAAGATTAGTGTGATTCTTCTTGTCTTGGTCGGTTKCTTTGTATCTGGACTTTGTAAAGGTACGTTTCTAAAAAAAACTTTATACTATACACAGACTTTTTAACCGCTTAGTATGCTAGTAGTTTCCAATAGAAAGTAAGTACTACGAGTAAGAAAAATACTTTTTTCAGTAATATATATATTATTATAGTYAACAGGGAATACGAAAACAGGTTTTGTTTAAAAAATTACTGTAAACTTATAACGATTTCCGCTTACTTTACCTCAGCTATTTATATTTTATTTCCTGGAAGAATGAAACTTAAAACAAATTGAATCGATTTCTCAAACGTCCAATAGCATACTTTTTTTTCGTTACGTTTCGTTACTTCTACAATATTGAATGCTCATTGGAAAAATGTCTAATGAATAATTCATGAGTTTAGAAGTCCGTATTATGAAAAACCGAGCCCTCCTTTTGTAAGGCAGCCTACGGGC